TTATTTCAGCCAGTAAGAATCCAAAAATATTATGGGAAACGATTAAGTCAGTGACAGGTGAAAGTAACAATAAAACATTTAATAACAATTCACAAATCTCAATAAATGGACTTTTTGTTTCTGATCATGAAAAAATTGCTAACTAATTTAATGAATGTTGTGGTATTATTTACCAAGAATGCAGAAACACGGAACAAATGCACAGAAAATCTGCGTGTATGGTCGTCAAAATGATTTAATTCTGAGCGACAACAAACAGAAGTCAATCAGGAAGTCTGTCGTGTTGTGACTGCCGCATCAGCAGAGAGCAGCCAATAATATAACATCATGATAACATCATGTGATATGCTTATAACCAATCACAGATCGCCAACTGTAACCATCTAACCAAATGACAGGGCTGTCAGCCTGGAAACACGTTATCAGAAATTAAAGAGGTCAGACATTACTGGAGTCTTGAAGTCTGGCCGATAGAGTAAAACAGCCAAAACTAGTTAATCATAAGATATGATCACTGGACAGTGTCAAGGTAGAACAGATATACACAATTAATTCATAACAATGAATATTTTATTTCTTCAGTAAGGACATACTGGTTAAATCCCTGGAGATGTTACCTTTTACGTGAGACATCAGAACGTCACTATTTTTGTTTAGACTAAATGACAGAACACACGATAAGACACATCAACTCTTTGTCTGCTTTAAACTTAAAGGCTGAAATGATCAGAAAGTATAAAATACAATACTGCATCTAACATTTAATTAACCAGTTACAAAATTTCCTTCAGTAACTTAAAGTAGCAAGCTAATAGCATACAGTAGCTAAAATGTAAATGTAGCAGAATAAAAATTGAAAGTAGTAAAAGGTTAGCTAAATGCTAAAAGTAGCAGAATTGTAGCCAAAAACTAATAGTAGCAAAATCAAATCAAATCAACTTTATTTATAAAGCACTTTAAAACAGCGGTCGCTGACACAAAGTGCTGTACAAGATATTATAAAAGTAGTAACAGGCTAGATAATAAGCTAAAATTAGTAGTACAGTAGCTAGAAACAGTAGCAGAATGTTAGATTAACTAGCAAAAATTCAGCAAAAAAAGCATAGCACCCAACTTCTGAATTAGCTGAAGGTCTTTATACATGAATAGCTAAAATAGCACAAAGAACAGAAGTCATCAGATGGCAAAAATGCACAGACAATTAAAAGCCAGAGACTTTGTAGTGAATTAACTTTTGAATCCCTAACCTTACAGCCATTGAGGAAGTTACCRATGGCTAGCACCGTGGCTAGAATACACCTGAAGGTCTGGCTGGATGCCAGTTGCTCCATGGCCAACTTCAGGTGGAAAAGAGGCTCAGCAATTTCCTTTTAAAACAAAGGACACATCGAAAGGGTCTTTGTGAGAAACACAGAACAGGTGATTCATCAAGTTTGTTTTATTTTTAGTCGTTGATTGCAAGGTGAGTTGGTGTTATGTTTGTGTGACAGTGTTTCCACTTACTCTCTCTAAGGAGTCATAGTCCAGAGCAAAGACCCACAGTTGGATCCTGGTGCTCAGGTAAGGGATCTCTCCCAGAGTGAGGAGACACAGCTCAGCCTGGGCCAGAGAAGCGTGGGGGTTCTGGACTTTGGCCTCCTTGATCAGACTCAGTTCTTCTTCTGTTGGAATCAGAGCTTGAAGCCGCTGTTTTTACAATAAATACAAAAAGACACAAAAGTCAAATGCATATTTTTTAAGCTGGACATTTTGTCTGAGCAGAAGTAAATTTTAATGGTCGACCAGAGTGCAAAATCTGGAAAGGATGCCCTGTGTCATACCTGAACATCCTCTCTGTCCAGCACGCTGCTGTCCATGCTGTAAATAGCCGGGGGAAGGAGGCGGGGAGGGGGCAGGCTGCTCAGGGCGATGGTTATGATGTTACTCCTCTTCATTCCCAGCACTGAGATACACGTCTGCTTCTGTGACATGATAGAAGCAGTTCAAAGCAGTTTAAAAGCAAAAGTGAGACACATTTAGGCTAAATCTTGTTTAATTMAAAACCTAGCATTCCTTGAAGGAATCGCCCGCTGCCTGTCATGGCACACAGAGACAAAAACAATACAACCTTTCTCCTTCTGTGGCAGGCAATAATACAAGAATGTTATGATTTTAAAAGTAACATCAWAGATAGCAGCAGCCTGAATAATTTAAAATATTAGGGAATAAGTTTGTTTCTGTGTCTTCCATGATCTTAAACAAAAGCTAAGATGGTACAATTACATACATTTCATAAATGTCTAACAAAGCTTAAAAAATTATAAATTTATAGTTTTTTTTAGGAAGATAAAACCTTATGTACACGACTCTTTTTTCCTTGTAAACCCTAGGGATGGACATAAACATCAATACAATAAATGCCAAGATGAGAACTGGTATCAGCTCAGTACTTTAGTTGCAGTTACTTTTCTATACGTTCAGCGAGTTATTCAAATTTCTGCTCTTTCTTTATCAATTTATTTGAGTTTTTGACTTTAGTTTTCACAAAGACCTACATGCAACTACAGGCATATTTTTGTTTTGCATTCGACATTGTTATATGCAWCTTTTGTTACACTATTGCTTACTTTTTGTTTGTCTTTTGCGCTAGTGACTTTTTAATGTGTGTAGTAGAAGGTAATAGGGGAACTMTTTTATTGTCTTTAGACTATTACAWGGTTTTATATGACTKTAGTTTGTTAAARTGTTTTTATTTGCGTACAACCATTGTCCTGTGTTATATCATAAGCGACTAACTGAAGGCAAAATCACAAAAATGAAAAGAAGTCAATGAACATAGGACTTCAAGTAAAAAGCAACAGGTATTTTCAACATTGRCAATACTAGCCCTGTATTYATTTGGTATTGGATCAATATCGAAATTCCTAATATCGCTCACCAAACCCTACTATGCAGTTGTATTTTCTCTTGTAACAACACCCTTTATTTAGGAGGAGAACTGCAATGAGTGCTGCAACTCTAAAGTGCCAGTATTAAGGGCAATTCCACTCTCTTGATATTATGATTTTATCATTATGAGTCCCACACCAGTATGATCAAGCCTTCAGTGAAAACTATCTGTAGTACTTTCAAGTCATAAGGTCAATGTGAAGTCAAGTCATTCTGGTTAAAGGAGACTTGTCGTGCTTTTATATCCTTCTTTTTCACATTTAAATCATTCAGCTGAGGTCTATATAAAGTGGAACTGCAATGCTTTGTTCTGAATTCCWCCTTACTGTAACTCCACAAGCCCCTCTTTCACCCCTTTTCTGAGGTGTGTCTCAGATCAACTTGTTTTGATGCTGYYTCTTTAAATCCAAATGAGGCRYTTCACACCCCGCCCTCCGTCCAGCTTCCAGACTGGTCCATTCCAGTTTGATAGAGGGGGTTACAGATATCTACAGCTATGTAGCAGCCCATAAACATTTTATAAATTTACAGTAATCAAAAGATTTGTCTTTATTAAAAGACATGTCCATCCAGCCGTATATGCTGGAGCCAGAGTCTGACTCAGAGTCAGAGGAGAATGAAGATGACCAAATTGTAGTTGGTATAAGTTCATACCTTATATGGCAATTCCGTCAAAAATTCTTGACTTATTTCAGAACTGACTGGGTTGAAAAATRTGATACAAACAAATCATAAAGATATCTAAACAGCACCAGGAGTTACTAAATTAAAATTTCTGCACTCCTAGAAACTCCTAGAACACAACAAAATGAATGTAACAGCTAMAACAGTGGATTTTGAATTATYTGCCCTCTTTAAAGTGATAGTCTGGTCATTTTTGAASTGATGTTCTGTCAAATAATTAWAGGTTTAYACATTTTTCAAACCATATTCCTGCTCCTCAAAATCCACCATTTAGTTATACTACAGTAAAGCACAAATGAAAATTCACACAACGTACAATTCAAACACTGACTACAGAGATGAMCTTTCATATTTTTTACCAACATCATAGTCACTTAAATTCTTTGAAAAGGTATTTAGATGGTTATATAGATGCTCTGTACCCACATACAGTTTACAAAGTTCATTTGCAGAACAGACAAGGCCTCATCAGTCTCACCTGCCGACCAGTAGCCACACTAAAACTGGTGTTACTGGTCTTCGATTCAAACAAGAACTCCAAACGGTTTGTATCCAGATGCACTGGTTCAAGTCCTGCCCAGATAGTCTGCGTCCCAAAGCGCGTCATCCGAGGAAGAGGGGTCAGGTTCTGCAGTTCCCTCCAGTGGAGCTTCAGGGTACGACTTTTAATGGCCGCACCGTTCGGGGAAGCTGGTGAAGGTGTTGCTAAAGGAGGCGGTGGAGGTGGAAGAGGAGGAGGAGGAGGAGGGGGCGCCGGGGTCCTTTTTGGGCATTTTGGTATTAAAGACGATGCCTGGATCTCTTCGTTCTCTACACTGTCATCATCGTCCCAGAGGTCTGAGAAGTCCAAGGTGTTGAGGCAAAGACGGGCAGCTGGTTTTAAGACCGCATCCCAGGAAACGTCAAAGTCCCAGGTCCGGTCCTTGTTTTGATCAGACTGCTTCATTTGACTCCTTAAATTTTTTGATGACTCAATAAAAAAAGTCTTTCAGCATTTGTTGAATCCAAAAACGTGTTTCTTCCGCATACCAAAAAACAAAAAAAACCCAAAACAAAACAAAAAACGTTTGATCTTTGGGTCTAAAACTTCTACATTAACGCAAAACTTCCCACTTTCCCTATTTTTCCTTCTCACTGTCATCAGCCAGCACCTTCCAGAGTCTAAAACTGTGTGAAGATGTGTGGATGCTCTGCCTCACTTGTCCACCACAGGAGCGCATAGCTCACACGCCCAAATCACAATGTCTGAGCCACCTCTGGCTGTTTTCACTTCACCGGAACCTGTAATTGCCTCGTCAGCTGTGTTTGTCCCTCAAATCAAAATCGACAGCACCCGTCTGATCTAAACGCCCATTGTCGCCTGCTTTACTGACCAGAAGTCTGAACCTCAGATCGGGAAAAAAAGACTTCTTGTGCGTTCTGGTTTAAATCCTGAGAAAAAAGTACCCGGTACATGAAGTTTTTTGTTCCTGCAGCTTCTCCAGATTATACAAATGGCATTCCTCTGCAGTTAGCCCCTGTCCGTCATCGTCCTCGGTCTTTCTAGAAGTGGCAGGTCCTGAGAGTTTCAGTTAGGGGAAGAGGGATGCACCAGTGCATCAGTTTTGGCTTATTTGAGCTGCGCCCTTTCCTTTAATTTCCTTATCTTCCCTGCATCTCATGTTTGTACGGGTAAAGCCACACACAAATTCTTCTATCTGCCTCTGTAGATCGGCTACTTCCGTCTTCTGCAGATAGCACACATCTTCATTTCTCTTTCTTCTCATTCTTCTGTCAATTTTATGAAGACGTATCGCTCTTACGTAGCCCTTTCCGTTTGGGAGGAACAAGTCTGACAAGCAGAAATCAAACCTTGAGGTTGTATAAACATTGCAAGGCAGAACGATTAAAAACAGATACCAAACACGTAATATATATATATATATATATATATATATATATATATATATAGGGTTTATAAAACACACAGTCTTAAGTTGTGTTTTCAGAGGTCATTTGCATGGTCCACATGCAGCTCTAATGAGGATCCCCTCCCTTGACCATTAGGTCTCTCCTAATTACACTTTATCTCACCCAGTGGCCCGGCTGTCTACAGGCAGCAGCACTCATGGGACATTTTGGCTGAAATTAGCTCTATTTGCTGAGATTGAGACTGTTTACCATTTGTTTATTTACAGACGGCTGTAATGCCTCCTGCAAAATAAGCACAGTTGACGCTTTTAAGGATAAAATGAGCAATACTTGACAAAATGCCTTCTGCCCACTGACGTTTATGTCARAGTTTTAAATGATGATCTTGCACGATCTGGTAGTGATCACGAAATGTGTTGGGGATGACTCTCAGCTACTACCACATCAAGTTTGAAATCAGTAACCGTAACATTGACTAAGTTGTGGCTGTTTTTTGTGATTTTAAAAGTCAATTGGATGCGGTCGACATCTTGAATCAGGTTGACTATCATGTTGTGGATGTGYAGACAATCATTACTTTTGGGTRGAAAAAAATCTATCCAGTGGTTTATAAGATAGTTTGCTAACAGACACACACACTGGGGCAGACACATTATTGCTAAYGATTTGCCTTTGGCAGCAGATAAGAACATATCTGCTCAAACAAATCATGAATTAAACATRTAGTGGATTTGTTTAGTCAGCAGGCAGTTTGAGCTGCAGCTGCAGTGATTTTGGTGACGATGTGGTGCCTGACTGGAACCGACAGATCCTCAGCAGGAACAGAACACATCCGGAGGTTTTCTGTTTCTGTCAGTGTCTGGGTCGTTCCGTGTCTCCCTGTGTGTCTCGCTGTGGTTGTGTAAATAAATGCATCTCTTCTCAGCTGCTCCTCTGCGGGTCCCACAGCAACCACCGAATGTGGTCTGACATTCACAGCAGCGAGATAAAGATCATGGTGCAGATGACACGTAATCGCTCTGGGTTTGAAGTTCTTTAGGTGCTGGGTCATGGAACTGGAGTCTTTGATTCTTTCATTTGAAGGGATTATTTGAACTGAGCAGTGGTCCCCAATCCAGGTTTCTGAAGACCACTTTCCTGCATGTTGTAGTAGTTTCCCTGCTTTTCAACAGGTCTTTACGTTCTGCATAAACTTAAGTTAATCTTTCATTCATTTCAATCAAGTGTGTCAAAACRCAAAACATCTAAAACATGCAGGATGGTGGCCCTCTAGGACTTTAGATATGCTAAAAAAACAAAACAAAAAAAATTGCTAAATAAAAGCAAAGTAAAAAGAGGCCAATCAGTTGACAGAAACTAAAAGTAGCAAAACACCAGTTTGAAAGATGCAACAGGTTACCTAAAAACTAAAAAGGCAAAAAAGTTTGCAAAACTAACCCAATTTTAGCTAAAATTAAAAGAAGCAAAAAGCTAAATTAAAATAAGAAAAGGTTAGATAAAAACATCAAAAACTTATCTAGAGGTTAAAAGTAACAAAAAACTAATGAGAAGCTAAAAGTAGCTAAAAGTTAGCTAAGCAAAAAGCAAGCAAAAAGTATTTAGCTAAAATTAACTAAAGGCTAAGTAAAAGTAGTAAAAGCCTAGCTGCTAAAAGAAGAAAAATGCCAGGTTAAAGGTAAAAGTAAGCAAATTTTAGCTGAAAGATCAAAAAAGCAAAAGGAATGATAAAATATTAAAGTAGCAAAATCGAAAGCCAAAAATAACAGAATGGTATCWAAAATATAAAAGTATGCTTAAATTAGCCAAAAAATATAGCCAAAGGAAAACTAAAATCCTAAAGTAGCAATTAAGGCTGCTAAAGGCAAAAAATAGCATATAGGTAGCTAAAAAYGAAAAGTACCATAAAAGATAAATAKAAAGCAAATGTGAAACTGATTTCAAATATGTTTTAAGTTGAATGTTTGGAAAGTATAAAAGTTAAAGAAAACAAATTTCACTGAATCTCCTGAATGAGTTAAATGTTTTGATATGAATGAATAATGTAAAACAAAGTAAGCATAAAAGAACAGGAAGAAAATATTGTGAATGATGAATCAGAATTCACACAACTAGGTCACCGCTTTAGTTTTATAGATGGTTTTCAGTGACGTCATCATCTGGGACWTTTTTACCCTCCGCACCCTGTTTGTGGGATAGTATTTAKCTTGYAKYGATAAAACCARTATGGGAGAACCACAAAAGCAAGGGAGAAAAAATGCAAAAAAGGCCACGGAACGACRCAGACGAGCATGACCAGGATAATACTTTGTATTTAAAACATGCCTTTCAGGAAACCCATGGATCTACTGGATAATAAAGCTAAATCAAGGTATTTATCTTTATTGAAAGTAGCGATCCTTACGAGCTGCTGAAGTCTGCAGAGCTGACAGGCTGTGCTGACATGACTCTGTGTGACTTTCTCTGATATTATTACTAACTATATCTTACATACTCCAAATGTGTACATACTGCATAATAAGGAGCTTTTTGTGATTATAATCTGATACTGTCAGTGTTTCTACGTTCGTGTGTACAGGGGTAGATTGCATAATATTCAAAACACTTTTCTGTTCAAAGTGCACAATCTATTTCTTTTTGTTTTAGTTAATTAACGTACTATGCGGCCACTAACCATGGCAGGAGTGATCTGAACACACTCTGGAATCCTGAGGAGGGTGAAATCTTTGTGGATGACTATCACCAGCCACAAAATCACGTTGCTTTGCCAACAGTTCTACTTCTCCTTAGTGTTTTTACGCCGTCTGTTTTTTTAAGAGCGTCTCTCTGCCACACAAGCAGCACAGTTTTGTAACTAACTCGAATGCAAATTTGCTCCATAACTGTTAAAACAACATATAATAGAAACATACTACATAAACAATCTAGACTGTATACATTTCTGTGCTGTAGACTATCCCCTCTTACGCATTCGCAGCCACGAATATGGCAATTTGATCACATGATCTTGCAGGTCGCTACGTCATTTCAAAACCATCTACTGGATAAATGTTGTAGCAATCACTTTATATTTTTAATAGGATTCAACATAAGGACAACTGGTGGATTTGAAATCCTAACCCAAATGATTTACAGCAAAAATGTTACATTTTGAGCTTAATGTTTCTTCATAAGATACAGYTTAGTGGTAAGATATCCCACTTAACGTTTATCACTGAACATGCATCACTTTTTTTTAAGCAACTCAAAGATTCAGTTTCCTCAAAGACAAYAACATACCAGAGTATCACATGGCCTCAGAACACATATTCACACAACAATAGAGCCTGGTCACTGAAGGTATTTACAGTAGGTAGTCTTCTTTATTTAGATTTGATGATTAGAGGGTTACCAAAACCACTTTCACATTGTGACCTAAAACCAGGCTGAGGATAAAAAAAGCAACAGTTTGGTCTTTTCTGCATGACTGTTGGGTTTGGTAACTGGTCTTAAAAAACACAAAAATGCCTCTGACTCAGTTCAATTTGCAGATAGTGAACTGAAATTATATGTTGTAGTTGCTGAGCCTGATCCTCAACACGTTCTGAACGCTAACTGGACTCAAAATGACTCAATAATAAACAACAAAATGAACCACTGGATGGATTTTGATGAAAATTCCAGAAAATAATTACTGGWTGCACATCTACAACTGATTATCTTTTTGGAACTGACCCAATTCAAGATGGCTGCCAAAGCCAGCTCACCATATAAAACACAAAAATGGCTGTGACTTGGTCAGATTTACTAAGAATATGTTAAGTATTTGTAGCTGAGAATCTGTCAAAACTCTTCAAGTGCTACTGGTGTGTTAGATATTTGTCTTTCTCAACACAAATGATTTTATGAATTAAAAAATCTGACATGAAAGGTGATGAGTCATATGTGTCCCTTCAAGGTATTCTAGACCTTTCAAAGTTCACTTGCAGAACAAGAAAAACTGGGGCTAACTGGGAATCATTTCATCGTTTCCCATTTCTTTTGGTTTTGGTTTTGCTTTGCATAAATGGAAAGGCTAACAGGCCAGAACAGTCAGATCTGATGCAGATAAGATGGCGGGGAAGGCAAAGGAACCTTATTTGGGAAAATTCAATGACATTACTTTTCCAGTGCTACTTGTACTTGACTTTATGTGCATTCGAAAGTGGGTTTTTTTTTTGTCTCTTCAGATGGAATCAGTAGAAGTTCATTAAAGGTTTTGTAGTAAATTAGAACAACCACATTAGACTGATTGGTGAACAGAGAGGTGTGCTGGATGTTGGCCCACTTAAACCTGTATTTATGGTCAAATAAACCAAACTAAACTTGTTTGTTCAAGAATAATCTTGCATTTTCTTTAAACAGCCCCACATCACTAGAGTTAACATAAGCAATTAATGCAAGTTAAAAAAAAAACATCAAGTGATGTGTTGAGTACAAAGTATGTGTTATGAATAAAACTCAGTCACTAACACTTCAAAGTCTTTTTGATTGATTATAGGCATTTTTGTGTTGGATGTTGCAACCATCTTGAATTGGGTTGACTCCAAAAGTTAATATGTAAAGTGCATGTATGTATGTAAAGTGTGTTAATATGTAAAGTGT